AGACATCTTATTGGACACCTTCCATTGGTGTCCCTCCTTGCTGGTGGATCACATTATGCCACTAGAGGAAGAGCAGAGGGGGAAAGGGACAATTCCTGTTTCTCTTTGCTTGAATATGAGTCTCCTTGCTATGTAACTTCCTGACTAGATCACCACTTCTTTACTACATTTCCCAGAATCCTTCTTGACTTCTAATCCCATCTAACTTGCTGTCTCATTGGCCAAACAGTACTATATTCAATAATCAATAAGATGAACATACACCATGTATTCCCATTATCTCTTTTCTGTCTAAATAAAAAGAAAGATAACTTATTTTTATAATAACTGAAGAAAACTATAACCATAACTATCTGTCTTCAAACTCTATCAAAGACCACAAGGATAATATATAAAATCTAGTATTGACAGAGACATCTCACTACCTGGACAGTCACCCAAAGTTCTTCTGTAACATTGGGGCATCCATCTTCAGCCTATAGGCCACAGTGTGTCTGGAACACTTCTCCATTTCAACAGGAACCCTTCAGTACTGTCTTGTTTTGCATTGGTTTCCACAGGAGAAGAAAAACTTTGGATACCATCAAAGTTGATCAAGATTCGAGGTGAAAAGGCAAAACCTCTCGACGAGGACAAATGACAGGTATTCTACTAAGGTATATCTTATAAACTAAATAGAAACCTTCCAAAGGAAAGGGAAGTGTTTTGCTTTTATCTCCACAGGAAAACTCATCTCCAGAAGTCAAAGGACACTGCATTGGTAGATACTTAAGAAGAGAATGTAGCTATAACCATCAAACAAAAGGAACATGCCATACGGTAAACTTTTCATCTGTCTCTCAGGGAACTCTATTTCTCCTTATTTCCTAGTCCCTATTTAATATAACCAATGCTGGATTTAGAGGTAGATTTGGCTTTCCTCCTCTAAAATCCAAGCACTTTTTTTAACTAAACTTTCGAGTTTCTATATTGTATCAAGAAGCCAATTGATGTAACACAGAATAAGAAAAGAATTTGGAGACTGTCTTTGTCTTTTCTTGGCTATTTCTTTCAAGGTGAGCACCCTCTCATAATTGTTATGCTCCCATGGTTGCCTTTCCCAGTACGTGTACATACACAAGCAAACATTTCTCTTCTAACTGTTTTTGTTTGAGTCCCACACAGACAATGAAGGTCTGCCTGACAGCAATCCCTGGACACCCTGGAAAGAAAATGGGCACACCTCCTCAACTGCACTGGATCCAACTTTCTTCATTTCAACTGACACTCTGGCCAGAGCTTTGTGTACTGACTTCAATCAAGTTGAGGATTTCAATCGAGATCTTCAATCAAGCAAATCCCATCTAACATGGACTGGATATAATACATTCAAGACTTTCACTACACTAACATTTTCTTCCTGCAGGACCCCACAAGGCTATCATCATCCAATTTCAGCAGGAAGTAACTTAGAGGATGCTATGCCTCCTTTCCCACATTGTTGTCACTTAGGATAGTATATATACCTAGTTAGGGATAGCTTCCTATTGTTTATTGTTTATTGTTTATTGTTATTGGGAATGGAAGGCAGTGTTCAGGCTTGGACACCTCTTTAAGATGACTTTAGGGTTTTGTTAAAATAGATAGTTAGGATGTGACATAAGCAGATTGTTGTGTCTTCTTATATTTCACCTTTATGATTGTTAATTTTGGATACTTTACACTAAGTTTTAATCCTCTTTTAGACTAAAAGGGGAATTGTAGGGGATTCTGTAGCCACACCTGCTTAGGAGCTTGCTACAAGTGTGCCTGACCACACCTGGTAGGGCATGGTCAGGGTGATGTAGAGTGAGGGGCGTTCAAGTGGCTGGTTTCATTTTCATTTTCACTTTTGGCTTGTTGTACAGACTGCTGCCCACCGGCTGGCTAGGTCACTCTTTAAGTAAGGCTTTCCCTTATTAAAATCCCTTGTATTTCTACCTGGCTCCATATTGGTAATTTCCCACATTAAGGGAGGTTTAATCTACAGGCACAAAAGCCAAATAAAGTAAGGCAAATAAGCAGGATATGTCTGCATTCTGTACCATTGTAGTACACACCAAAGAAAGTCAAAAGATAAAAGAATGCTGTAAGAACAGTTAGAGTGGAATATCAAATCTTTATCAGAGCTGTGATAATCAAAGAAAAAAAGGTTTATCATGATTACCAATGAAGTCAAAGTATCATTTGATATTTTTAATATGCAAAATGGCATTGTCAACCTAGAAATATATAACCAGGAAAATGTTCTTCAAAGTAAAGCTGAAGTAACAGTGGACAGCTGACAGCCCTCTAGAAGAATATTTGAAAGGATAAATTTCATCAGGAGCTAATGGACCAATGCTGTAAACAAGATGGACACAGCAGAGCAGAGAACACATGGGTGTGACTAGAGAGTAACTGCAGTTCCTTTACTGTGCTAACAGCATGGGAGTGCTAAGGAAGGCATTTCCTCCCTTGGATGGAAAGCATTAGTCCAGAGAAATGTGTTTTAATAAATTTTCTTTATTAGTGGTTTCATTCTCTCCACCCCATAAAATTTTTTGTTTGTTAACATGTTTGTTTATTTTTCAGACAAGGTTTCTCTGTGTAGCTTTGCAGAACAGGCTGGCCTCGAATTCACAGCTATCTGACTGCCACTGCTTCCTGATTGCTGGTATTAAAAATGGGTGCCACTACCACCAGGATCCACAAATTTTTTAATGACTATTTTGAGGGATCAAATTGAGGCTTTTCAGCAAATATATCACATGGGCCATTCATTCTCCTTTTGTCAACACTTTAAGATACAGTACCCAGACAGGGTGTAGAACCCTCTCCCCTGTGTGGAGCAGCCAGTGAGGGCAGGGCTAAGCCTCTCACTTTCATGACCCAGGGCCAGCTCTCTCACTTGCAGCAGGTGGCAATGGGTAAGCTAGGGAGGGCATCTTTCTCTGACTCAGGCCACCCCATGGCAGATGGTGAGGGGATCAGCCTTCCTGCTCAGTTGTGTCCCTGGCAATAGGCTCAGAAAATTTCTTGCCCCTCACCAGCAGCAGCACACAAGAGAGTGGGCACTGCATCCCAACTAGTCATCAGGCTAATTTTGGTGAGGGGCAGATCTATCCTTCTCAAGTCTCAGGTTTAGACATGATGTCCTTTAACATGCAGTCCTTCTATTATGTGACTTCTCCAATTTGTTTCAGTATAACAAAATTGCATCCAATCATTGTACCTCATCATCAATATCAAAACTAGTCATTCTTTATTCTAGTTTATACATTAATATTATAGATATATAATCATTTATCACATACAGCATAGAGTGGACACTTCATAAAATCCAATTTCCTTATATTTGTTGTTCTTTACATTTTTTCAGCTCTGTCTAGCTTCAGATTTGATCTATATTTCTGCCAAGTAAAACGTAGGATCAGAACCTAATGAACAGACTAGCTTAGACTGTATTTTTACAAGTGTGCTAAAAATTTATGATTGAGAAAATAACTCTTTAGAAGTTTCAAAAACTTAAAAAACAGTGATTTCAACTGATAAAGTCACTGCATTTCCAGTTTATTTCATCTAATTGTTGAATAATATTTTGAATCAGTATCACAGGAGTGAAACTCCAAACTGGACAAAAGATTCTATCTGTAAGTATTGCCAACACAATTTCAGGAAACCTATATTGTCTGTTGGAAACAAAATACTTCAGTGGAAAAATAGAGTGTTCAGCTAACCACTGTAAATCAAACTTTTAGGGAAAAGGATCAAATCTGAAACTAGACAGAGTTGAAACAAAAAAGTTGGCACTCAAGCATTGTGCATTTGAAGCTGGATTGAAGTTAAAACATTGTTTCTTCATCTAAGTGGCCCCATCCTCCATTGTGTAGTGACCACATATGGCTCAAATGCAGGCTGTTCACTGACATACAGCATTCTGTTGGCTAGCACTATGCTAGATGATTTGAGGACTTTTACACATGAGTTCTTTCCAAGAAAAATAAAATATTATCATTTAATGAGGAAATCAACTGGTTGTGGAGTGAACATTCTGATCCAAGTGTTTGCTACTGAATAGACTCTAGATTTAATGATGCTGTACAGTCATGTTAGAAAGCAACAAGAAGATGGTTAGTAAAACTTTCAAAAACAAATCCCTTCTCATTTCTGATAATAAATAAATCACTTCTTGGAAATGGAAGTTAATAATATTCAAGGTTCCCTTTTGTGAATGTTTTATTTCTGAAAGGCATGGATGTAGAGATTTCATTAGACCCAAGATAAATGATAAATTGGTGTTTACTGCAAAACACTTACACAGCAAAATACAAAGAACAGTGGGAGCATCTCTCTGGTCCTCCTTCTGGATTGGTTGACCCAACAGAAAAAATGCACAAACAGAAGCCATGCCTCAAGCTTCCCTCTTTCTACGTCCATCTGACTGAAGCCACACCCAAAGGGGTGTGGCCACCATTACAAGTTCATAGACAAGACACCTACAATTCCCCTTTTAGTCTAAAGAAGATTTTAAACCTGATGCAAAAACTATATACAATGATTACAAATGTTAAGTATATTCCAGAAAAAGGAAATGTAAACATACACAAATTGAAACCTACTATCAGCAAGAGCAACAATGATCAATAGATATATAATAAATGTACAGTATACATGCCCAGTAACAGGGTAAAGGCATGACAGAGATTACTCTGATAGCAGCCCTCATCTGCAAAGTCTAAATCTTATCTAAGATATGAGAGGATATGGCTATGACTGTCTAGTATTCAACTTCATCAAAGACCTGAGAAGGAAAATAACAATTCTAGGGTAATCAGGGAGTGTAAGTGTGTAACTTTCTAAAGGTATAAATGAAGAAAGAAACAGCAGGATACCTGGACAGTCACCCAAGGTCTCACAGCAACATCAGTGTAACCAACTTTGGCTAAGGCCTAAGGTAATAGACATACCATTTCAGAAGCCAGGAAATTGAAAAACCTTACCCTGACTTGGCAACGTTCATCAGTCGTCTTTAATTTAATCTCCTGCAAGCCAAGTAAGGACAGGATGTCCAAGGTCAGCAGTTGAGCTGGGGGCTGTACTTTTCCAAAGAGGGCAGTAGCTGAGGAGAAAATGAACTCAAGATGGAGTGTCATTGCTGCCCAACATACTCTCAAGAACAGCTCAGTACTATCAGGAGCAATTGTGTCTCATGTCAATGGAGTATTAATATTATGACACTTAAATGTCATATTCTGCATGTCTTTGAATTGTCTGAAGATCAAATATTGATGTCTGCCTAACCTCACAGGTATAAGAAACATGGGTAACTATAATCTGTAATTCTAAAAAACAGAGATAGAACTGAAATGTCTTGATTAGGGGTAGAACTGTAAAGTGCAACATGATAAAATATCCTAAGTTTTATCAATATACAAATATATGCATAAAGGTAGCTTTATATTTGTGTGCAAAACATCGGAAACAGAAAGTAGACCCTACTCAGTCAACATACAAGAATCTAACAATGTAAATTATCTAAAACTAATAGTTGCTAAAATTAGTTCACAAGAACATGTTATTCTACCTATATCCCATCCTAACTATACTCTTCCCATCCATACCCTTAAACTTTTCTTTAAAGAAAAAGGATATTAGACTCTTACAATCACTGTCTATACCCAATCCTACACAACTTAAAACCAACCCTAAGCAGTTGGTAAATTATCCCTTTTAACAGTGAGAGAAAAAAACAAAAATATCCTTACTGCCAACTTTAGGGAAGAGGGGCATTGTTTTTCTTTGAGTTACTTCCTCCTGAAATGGGATGACAGTGACTCTATGGGTTCCAATAGGGGAAAAATAAAGCAACAGAAAGTCTAAAGAATACTAGCTGTAACATTTTTAGCAAGTATCTGATTGGCAAGAGATGCCTGACTGAAGTTCTTATATGAAGCTCTGGCCAGAGTGTTATAAGAAGGTGTACCATTTCAGCTAGCAAGTCTGGAATTGTCTAGAGCAGTATTAGTCCCAAACCAGTTTTAGAGTGGTATTTATCAGTTCAAAGACATTAAGTTGAATCGAGTAGAATTGATGAAGTGGGGCCCCATCTTTCTGAGATTTAAGTGATTGCTATTAGGAAATGTTATTTTCATTATGGAAGGCTTAAACATTAATATCAACACTGAAAGTTTAACTTTTATAGGTGTGTATACTGGGAAATGTAACAATAAGGATGAAAATAAGTATGAGGGAAATAAAGATTTTAGAGAGATAACAGAATTTTGAAAATTAATAGTCCCTAGACTTTGTTTTTTTTCTGTATTACACCAATTGGCTTTTTTATATGATAAAGTCTGAATTTTATTTTAACAAGACGCTTGTATTTAGAGAAGGAAAGCCAAATCCAACTCCAAAGTCATCATTGGTTTTATATGAATGGGACTACCAGAGCACTATGAAGTAAGGAGATAAAGATTTTATGTATAAAGATTTTACAAAGAATAGATATTGGTACCATAAGTCAAATTCTTCTTTGTTTGTTGGTTCTTTCTGGATACTTATCCTTTCTTCTTTAGGCATCTACACATCTAAAGTCTTTTGGCTTCTTTAAGATAGCTGTTGTTTGTTTTCCTGTAAAGACAAGAACATTCAAGACATGGGTGTAAAGATTTCACTAGACCCAAGATAAATGATAAATGGGTGTTTACTGGGAAACAGTTACACGGCAAAATACAAAGAACAGCAGAAGCAACTCTATGCTCCTCCTCCTGGATTGGTTGACACAAGAGAAAAAATTACACAAACAGAAGCCATGCCTCAATCTTCCCTCTTTCCACTTCCATCTACCTGAAGTCCTACCAAAAGTAATGTGGTCACCATTACAGGTTCACAGATAAGATGCCTACAAGGTCCCACTAGACAAGTGCAAGTGATTACTACTACAACTGCACAATGACCTACCTACACCTCAAGAATGGCTGAAGACCAGTGGGTGTATGTCCATGTTGGTGAATATTGATCAGCAGGCTCTTGATGCAAAAAAAAATCAAACACCTCAAAATGAAGTCCAATAACTGTTTTGAGGAGTTGTTTTTTTACTCCTCTGTTATATATTCTTCTAATGTAGCAGAGGTCAAGCCTCCAACATGATATAGATAGTGCTGTTGAGAAAGGATGTGTCCAACAGCACAAAGCACCTCAGTGCACACCTGACATCTATCATTACCTTCCACAATTTAATGGTGAATTTTGAGGATGAACTTTCTTAAATTGCATTATTCATTGAGGTTCAAATGGTCTGAAATACTATCATAAGAATTACTTATGCTTTCAGTAAATTAAAGAAAGAGAATTAAAACCTATTTAAATTGCAATCAAACTTTTCTGAGACATTCTCCCCACTTGGGTATAGAGCTTCACACCTGAAAAATGGCAATACTAGCTTTACAGTAATAAAAATAATGTATAGTGCCAGACATTATGGTTCAAGCCTGAGACTCCAGCCCTTAGGAAAATAAGGCAGGTGATTGCAAAACATTTTAAGTCAGCCTGGGTTGCATAAAGTATAGAGTTCCAGTCCAAAATGGGCTTCAGAGTGAGGCCATGTCTCAAAAGAAAAAAAAAGAACACTGGAGAGATGAAAGGTGGCTCAGTATGGAAAGTGCATGCCACACCAGCATGAAAACTGAAGTTCAAATCTCAAGAATGCATAAAAGCTGAATATAGTAGCAGACATCTCTAATTCTTACTCCTATGGTAAGATGAGAGAAACAGGGGAATAGATGCATGGGGAGAGGAAGAGACAGACAGACAGACACACATGCACACACACACACACACACACACAAGAGAGAGAGAGAGAGAGAGAGAGAGAGAGAGAGAGAAACTTCAGGCAGGTACAAGTTCAGACCCATAGAACAGAGGGACAGTAATGATGGTAGACACAGAGAGCAAAGCAGAAAATTAAATCTGGTCAAATAAGAGCAAGGGGAAGTGCATTGATTCCTTTCCTTAATGTAACACTGAGACATTATTGGTGATTCAGAATAGTCTGTTATTGATATGTTCAACCCAATACAATACATGAATAATTTTAGGAAAATGTAATTTGAGGTCTTCTGACTCAGCTAGGCCCCACCACCACTTCAGCCCCAAATAGTCACACAGATGCTATATTAATTATGAAAATTTTGGCCATTGGCTATGGTTTCTTATTGGATAGCTCTGCATTAGTTATTAGCATATTTTCTATTAATCGAAGTATTCCCACGTGGTCCTCTCTTACCAGAGAAAACATCTGGGCCATATGATCACCAGGAAGACAAGATGCATTCTGCTGGCATCCTCAATAAAATAAGTCTTTAAAAATATATATATATATAGATTAATAATTATGGTTGAGCTTCCCTTTCTGCCGACTCATCACAGACCAGAGTAAGGAGACTACGAGGAGAGGCAAGACCATCCAGAGCTTCGGACATTGAATTCCTGACCCACACACACTACAGCGTAACAAGAGGAGATAGAGAGATTCTACCTGCACACACTGGAAAAAGATTTGGGAAGAAGACAGAATAAGAACTCGCTCAACAACAGAAAGACCAATATGACACCACCAGAATCTAGGGACTCCACTCCAGCAAGACCTGAAAAGCCCAACATAGTGCATGAAGAAGAGATGGACCTCAAAAATTATCTCAGCAAGATGATAGAGACCTTCAAAGAGGAAACAAGAAAATCCCTTAAAGAAATAGAAGAAAAAGCAAGCAAAAAATTAAATGAATTGGAGGAAAAGACAAACCAAAAAATTCAAGAAATGAATTTTTCAAGAAAATTGGTTTTCAAGAAACCAAACAAGTGAAGGAAGCTCTTGAAACAGTTCAAAGCATGAAAGCTGAAGTAGACACAATAAAGAAAACACAGAATGAGACGATGCTGGAAATGGAAAGACTGGATAAACAATCAGGATCTAAAGACTTGAGTATAACTAATAGAATCCAAGAGACAGAAAAGAGAATCTCAGCTATTGAAGACTCACTAGAGGATATACATTCATCAACCAAAGAAAACCTCAAGACCAACAAATCCCTAACACAAAATATCCAGGAAATATGGGACACCGTGAAAAGACCAAACCTAAGAATAATAGGTGTAGAAGAAGGTGAAGAAACACTGCTCAAAGGTACAGAAAACATATTCAACAAAATCATAGAAGAAAACTTCCCCAACCTACAGAAAGATATGCCGATGAAAGTACAAGAAGCTTATAGGACACCAAACAGACAGGACCACAAAAAGAAGTCCCCCCGGCACATAATAATCAAAACTCCAAATCTACAGAATAAAGAGAAAATATTAAGAGCAGCAA